CTTCTAAGGTTTCTGGCTGATTAGGTTGATCATATAGTTCTGTAATATAATTTTCCCAAATTTTCAGCACTTGCCTCTGATCTACTATTCTATTCTCCTGGGAGTCTTTGATGCCAATATTTTGAATCCCATGGTTCTCTTTCCATCCTAGTTCTTTTGTCTTCATGTACATCAAATCATAATGTCCTGTCGTTTGAAATTCTATAATCTCATTACATGTCTTCTCAAGATATTCCTTTTTGGCCCCATCCGTGGCACTTTTCAATTCATTCCTCAGTCTCCTGTAATTCCTCCTGCCTTCTTCATTGTTTTCATTTTTCCATTTCCTTCGCCCCTCCGTTTTACTCATCATCTCCTGTGTAACCCATGGTTTTCTTTCTATCTTCTCAACTTTACCAACCAATTCGCTAATAGTATCTAACATGCATTCTTTTATATTGTTCCACTGCACTTCAGCATTTCCGCTTTCACTTTAAATTGCACTTAGTTTCTCTTCTAGGGTCTCCTGCATGCTTTGACTTTGAGCATGTAACTTCACCAAATCCCATCTAGGTCTGCGCTTTTGGAATCTTATAATTTTCTTCAACCTGGTTCAAAACTTGACAACCAGTAAGTTGTGGTCAGAGTCAGTATCTGCCCCAGGCAGTGTCTTCACATCCTTCACACTGTTTCTGAATCGATGTTTCACAAGGATGTAGTCCAGCTGGTGGTGGGAAGGCAGTGACTAACCGCTTAAGCTATATTATATTTAAGCATCCTGTTGCACTCTATACGATATATGACATAAACACCGTCCCAAGTGCAACAATTTATTGTAGTTCTTTTGTCTTGCCCTCTTCTACACTACATGTTTCGGCCGCAAACGGCCATCATCAGGTGTATACACTTATGTAGTAAAGATAAGCAGCCGCACACACACAGGGAGCCTACACAGAATAACAGTGCTGAAAACAAGAAGTAGCCGCTGCAGCACTACAGACATAGGGCGAGTAACTCTGAGAATTTTAATTTTTAAAAGAATCTTTAAATTAGAACTGAAGATTTTAAAAGTGCCAGTTCATAATAATCAAAATTGACGAGTGTAGGTAACAAAGATAATGCACAAATCAGACATATATCAGCGAAGTAGATTCTAATAAATCGAAACCTGTTAGTAACCATATTTTAATAGGGATAGTCAGTTTCTTTACTTTTATTTGTCTTATAATAAAGAGTTCTTTTTTTTCTGTTTAATTCTTTCAGTGAAGCAATGCTCAGAAAAATTTCTAGCAGTGCTTTTAGATGGCTGGCAGGAAGATCTGGCACTAGGCTATCTGTGTCATGCAGTTTCCAAGTTTGTGTCATCTGATAACTTCAAAGTCTATGTGGACTGCTGTGCCAATCACATACACATAGATAAAACATTACAACTTCTGAAGTGAGTGCATTTTGTTCAGTTATATTTGTGTGGCCACATTATTACTGGAACGTCAGTACACTAATCCCCCATTTTACAAAAGGGATGCATTCCTTTAGTCATCTGGTGTGCAAGCTTTTGTTAATATCCCATTAATTTAGAGACAATAATTAGAGGCGATGGAATTTGAGATCATACTTGAATGCAAATAATGAATAATAGAAAAGAAAGGTGTATATATATGGTAGTCATATATGCAGTGTTTTTTTAATGTGTTTGTTGGTAATCACATGAACAAATCTCGCCTTGTGTATATACGTAGGGAAGTAAAAAATTATCCACACTCTTGTTTTTCCAATTCATATATACAAAAGTAGGGGTTGAACAAGTACTTCATTTTTATACATAGTCTCCTCCCTTTTCGATGCACTTGGTCCAGTGGTCCAAAAGCTTGAGTATACCCTCCAAGAAGAAGGTTTTCGGTTGGTCGCTCAACCATTTATGCACCGCTTCCCCCACCTCTTTGTCCGTAGAAAATCAAAAACCTCTTAAAACATCTTTGAGCGGTCCAAAGAGATGATAGTTGGAAAGGGCGAGATCTGGGCTGTAGGCAGGGTGTTCCAGCACCTCGAAACACAAATGGTTAATGGTTTCAACGGTCTGGCCGTCCTTGTGTGAGTGTTCATTGTCATGCAACAACAACACTTTCTTCGACAATAGGCCTCGGCGTTTGGTGCGAATTGCTGGCTTCAGATTGTTGGCCAGCAAATCACTGTATCTTGCACTGTTGATCGTACACCCTTTTTCAAGGTAGTCTTCCAGTATAGGCCTTTTTGAGTCCCAAAAGACTGTTAGCATCACCTTTCCCACGAAAGATTGAGTCTTGAATTTCATCTTTGTTTGCGATCCCAGGTGTTTCCACGCCATACTCTGGCTTTTGGATTCTGGCTCATAGTGATGAACCCACATATGAATTTCAGCCCCTGACACTCCTTCCATTCAGAGAAATCGGATCACTATTCTTTGTTAATCATTGGTGCACACTGCTAGCAGAGCGGCCATGTTTACACTGTCACAGCATCAAGGAAAATGATGCGATCTAGGTAAAACTTCGATCACGTGACCACAGTAGTACCAACTCTAACAATGCATGCATAGGAGGCAGTGTGACAAACCTAAAGATGTGTTATGGAGAAAGTGCGGATAATTTCTGACTTACCCTCGTATCTGTGTGTGTGTGTGTGTGTGTGTGTACAGATGCATGCGCGCATGTGTATATTCTATTATTATAATTATGAATGAAGGGTAGGTCTGCCGCTTTCATAAGCTTTCCTCAGTCCTTCCAGGGAAATGCCAGGATAATACTTCTACCGCAATGAGATCAGGATTGTAGCCCTCCAAATCCTCTCCAAAATTATTTTTCATCTGTCATCCTACCATTTGACAATGCATAGCTACTGACAAAATTATGAAATAACCCACAAGAAAGTAAGCAGGCTAATTAAAAACACCTGGGTGTAATAGGGAGAATAAAGTAAATAATGCCATATAACATCACTGGGCAAGGTCTTATTCACTGATATAAACTGAAATTTAAGATTCTGAAGTTTGGTGTGTTGTGTTTTCTCAGTATTCACCAGGTAGTCAGAAGTTGGAAACCAATGCTCTATTACATCCTACAACATATAAATATCACAGTTTCTTTACTTAACACACAGAGTGTGTCCAAGATATTACTTTTTAATATTCTTTTGTCAAAACAAATGACTGATGTCATAACATACATTATACTTAATTGAACAGTTTCACATGGATGTCAGAACTGTTATATTTATAATGGTGAAAAGGCTGATATTCTTGTAAATGAAAATATAAAAAGCTGAAGACTTACACCTCCAAAATTGTAGGCCAGGTATGTTGAAAGTGTTCTACAGTTTAAGTTATCTACACTCATATTTGNATAGTGATTGTACATTTCATCCACTCTGGCATTCTCTTTCTGTAAAGGAAAGTGAGGTTTGTACAGTGTACCGAGGCAACCAAGGTCATAGAAGCTGATGAAAATTTGTTGCTCATGTCTTGGTAACTGTTTAATAATGCATGACTTCTCGGCTGCAGCTTCTTCAGTGGATGAAATATCTTTGGTCATAGAACTGCTTATATCACTTGATGGACTTCTGTGTTTTTGAAGTTGGCTATTGACTAAAGAAAAATTATCTGAACATTTCTCTTCTTCATTTAGAAGTGTGCAATGAACTTCTCTGTTTGCTTCATGGGTGCAACATTCACTCTTTCTGTGAAGTCCATTTGTAAGGAGGTCATCTTTCAAAGAGACTGCCTCATCTTTTATGAACAGTGCTTTGGATGGTTGGGGCACTGGTGAAGTGGGCTTATTTACTACAAACGTTGTATCTAATTGCTTATCTGCATTACAATGTTCAGACAGTTTCTCACAGTTATTATGTTGTAGCCCCAAAGAGGGAATGCTGTGAATCTGCATTTTAGAGGGTTGAGGACAACTGTTACGAATTGTACAATTTTTAACCTTTAAATTGTCGTGTACTGAAAACCTTCTAATGACATCTTTGACATAAGATGATTCAGGGTGTGAGTTTGTCACATTTCCAGAAAAGTTAGGTATACAGAGATGATGAGAATTTGTACTAATTACAGATGTATTAGGCGGTTTATCGTTGCTATTATTGCTAGATATGATGTGGAGAGTTTTGTTATTATCAACTGAAATCTTTACTTTGTTTTCCAACAGAACTATATGCTTCTTGCTCCCTTCATCTCACTGACCTAGATGCTGTTTCATACAGACAGGAACATCGTCTTATATCATCAGCAAATAATATGACCTTAGACTCATGAATAGCTAGGGACAAATCATTTATCAACAATAAAAATAATAGGGATACGAAAACAGAACAACAGAAGTTACAAATTGTTTTGCTCACTACTTATGTATTATATAAAAATATGTATTTGTGTAACATGTGCATTGCTAATGACAGCAGATAGCACTCAAGTGAGCATGTCCTTCATGCTCCACACACTAATCTTGTATTTGCTGTCATGAAAAATGTTCCTTTCTTCCTCAGTAGATATATACTAACTGTAACGTTTATTTATATTTTGGAGGTTCTGTGTTCATTTCTCAGCTTGGTGACTGGATACAGTGACTGAGAATTTCTCTGGATTTTTTAGTTCCTCCAGGAAAATGTTTAGATAGTCCTTGAAGTACACTATGATCATATTCCTCCATATTCTTCCCAAATCGTCATTTATATTTGCCTTCCCATTTGTTGCTACAAACTGTAAATTATGTGGTTAAGTAAGTGTCATTAAATAAACTAAGAATAAGCAAACATCGATTATTGCCTTAAATTATAATATTGTGCAAATGAGGTCAATTTATTTTTGTATTCAAGAAGATATTGGGGGGGGGCACGCAGTAACGCAGTTGGTTGAAACACTATGTTGCAAGCCAGAAGGTAGCGGCTTCGATTCCCAATGAGGTCACTGGATTTTGCAGTTGACCTAATCCTTCCAGCTGCACTATGGCCCTGGGGTAAACTCAGCCTGTAACAGAAATGAGTACCAGGGATATTCCTGGGTGTAAATGGTGGCTGGCTCATAAGGCTGACAACTTTACTGCCATCTATGGGTTGATTGTTTAGAAAATGTGGGGGCCTTGACATCTCACAAACCTATGGGTCTCCACGACCTCTTACAGGTATAGTTTTACCTTTATTTATGAGGTTATTTCTTAGAATTTGATTTGTTTCATTCTGGTCCATCACACTATTAAGTTTACAATTAAGTTTATTTCAGTCCAATGTGACATATAATGCTTTCACCACTTCAGCACTTAGTTACCTAACATGTTTTGATTCTTAATGAATCATCATTGGAGGTATACCACTGCCCACCAATACGTAAATGTTTTTATAAGACTATATACGAGTACACTTAAAACATTCATGATGCTCACTAATGTAGTAGTTCATTTTTCCATTGTCGAAATATATGTTTGATGTAAACTTTTATAATAAGAACATTCTTGAAGTATATTACTTAGAAGTGATGTAGTTGCAATCACTTTCATAAAGGATAGTTTAAAAATGTAATTTTCCACTGCACATTATGTAAAATTTCTTAGATTATTTTATATCTATCTAACTAAATGCATCTAGCCAAGTCCTTCTTTGGAAGCCAAAAGCAGCTTCTCCCCGCTTACCTACTTACTACTACTTTGGGATGGTAGCTGCATGTTTCTCTGGTTTCATTGTTGCATTCTCAGTGCTCCCCTGGTGGACTGGGGTGTCCAAGCTTAAGCATTACCCAAGAAAATTTGGTATCTCAGTAGCAACACTAAAAGAATTCACACAGCACAATAATGATCATAACAATAATAACATAATAAGAATCTGACTAGTACTCTGCAACATTAGCAAACAGTTCTTTTGGTCGGTCCAGACAGAAAACCCAGGAGAGGAACATAATTAACCACTCAGAATGTTACCCCATTAACACATCGAACAGAATCACAATGGTGGCAATGAAAGCCTAAACACATACAAAATAAACCCAAGCCCAAGCCCTTGTTAAAACATTCCCAAACACCAAGAGCTACTTGTTGCAATATGGTGGTCCCTTGCCCTTAATAGCCAGAATCAGTATCCAAACACAATTTGGAAAGACCAGTTGAAAAAAATTTAGTGACCCAATTTTCCTGATCACTGCCAAACAAAAGACTGCTCTCCAAATCTCGCTACCTTGACAAGAGTGCTTCCTTTCCAAACAACTGGAGGAAGGTGAAATCACATGGTACACAGGAATGATTGGATCACGTAAACTGTAGAAGTAAAGGCACTGATGCCTCAGGGTGTGGGATTTCAGGCCAGCTTACTCTTTCCTGAGCCATAAGAACATAAACTTGGCCAAATCTACACAAGAAACATGCAGCAGTCTATGGAGACTGAAGGCTCATTACCTTGTTCAGAAGAGCTTGCCACTGACCCTGATCATGAGTTGATGAATCCAGTCCACAGCCTGACATCCTACTCCTTTGTACTCCAGTTAATATTATCCTCCCATTTATATTCAGGTATTCCTATTCTGCTTACAGACTGACAAACTATAAATTCACAAATGCGGTATTAATGTTGGAAGCACATCCTGCTTGTCAGAGGTTCTCATTGCAAACATTCCTTACCCTGCCCATGCAACGGGTGACAAGACTACCAATGCTGGTAGAGGCAATAATTAGACGTCTTCCATCCAATCACACTGAACGCAGGGTCTGGTCTGAAACACTTGTTCAACTTCAGAAGGTAAGGGATATACAACTATTGCACTGGCTGCAAGATGGTGTTTGACTGTCCAGATATTCTTTGGCTGGAATATTAGAAAGGGAGTACCACCACCCAACTCAGATGAACATCAGAACAGAATTTTAATAATGGCGGTGGTGTTTGTTATTTAACAACGTTTTCACTACGAAGATATATAGCACTGTTGATAGGATGATTAATTATAATGTGAATCAGTTTGAGTAATTAAAATTGGCAGGAGAAACCATAATATTTATAGAAAACCTGCCTGAGTGCCACTTTGCCCGCCACACATCACACATGACCTGAGGTGAGATCAAACTTGGGCTACCATAGTGAAAAGCTGCTGACTAACCGCCTTTGCTTATGGACAGCCATTCTGGCTGTTATTGTATCTGAAGGTTATGTTGTTTTTAATGACCTTCCTCAGTCCTTCCAGGCAAATGTCACAGCCACTTCCTTCTCCATCCTTTCAAATTCACTATTCAATAATTATCCTTCCATTCATGTTTACATAGCCAGAGCTACTAATGCTGTCATTCAATAAACAAATATAGAAAGAAAAACATAGATAAATATGTTGACTGCAACTTCTTTTTATGACAGACAATGCAGGTTATTCATAGCTGCCTATATTTTTGTTGTTGTTGTTCTCTTTGGATTTGTTGGCTTCTTTGCAGAAGAAATATATTTCTTCTGAAGCATATATTCAAAGAATATATATCCATCTCTCTCCCTCCAAACATTTGTTTAAATGCTCACTGGCTTTCTTAAGTTCCTGATAAAATAACTGAGACTGTATATGAAATATATTGAATATTGTGAAGTCACCTTGCTGTCTGTCTCTCTGTATGTATGAACATTGTCCACTAAAGGACATGCCAACCCCATAATTTTTAATTTCCTGCACTCTGTAATAACCAGCATGGTGGTTGCAGGAATTTGTGATCTGAAAGCAAAATGCCGCTTAGTACAGTGTAAAGATTGTAAAGTAAAAACTTGGCAATTGTGTGAAAATTCTAACATGGCTTTCACTGGAATAGCTATAACCCATGAGTGATTGGAGCTAGAAATAAAAAGTTTTCCATTCCTCCATATGTCTTCATGGCATAGTGCTTAACTAGTTAAGCACAGGGACAATTTTACCTTTTAAGAGAATAGATTATAAATATCCCTATGAATTACTTACGAAATACTGTCAGTTACAAATATGGCAGTAGATATGGTCTGCTGGGAAGTAATTCAATATAGTCTTTTAGATCATTATCAATATATAGGAGGAAGGTGCAGTCTCGACCATCAGGGTAGAAATCTTGCTACTGTAATGTGAATAGAATCTGTTCTTAAGTTAACACTGCAAATTCTCTACAAGATGCTGTTACTACTGCTACTGTTAGTACTGCTGCTGCAGCTACTACTACCACTATTATTATTACTCTGTTACTACAGCTACTACTACTACAGTAGTAGTGGTAGTGGTAGTAGCAGCAGCAGTATGTTAATTACTAATGACAGTGCCCGAGTATCCTTACAGCTGGAAAGAATAAAAAATTGCTAAGCAGAACTAGATCCTATGACCATCTACATCCAAGCCCAGCACACTGACCCACAAGTTAACTGTTTTATTGTTAGATTATGGACTTATGTGATCTTCATACAATAATAAGAACACATCTATAGGAATGGAAATCTCTGAAAGGTAAAGATAAGTTACCCCTGAGTGCCACACCATGAAGGGATATGGGTGAGTGTAGGTATAGCTCCGTGCATTCTTTAATTTAGCACTAGATGGAGGTAATCAGTCAGCTTCATGCTCCAGCATCTTTGCCCCAGTAGAAGTGATACCTGGTACCCAATGGATGGGAGGCTAGGTGGGCTCCAGAGCTGATCTGAGTGCTGTGAAGAAGAGAAAAATCTGCCCCTGCCAGGAATTGAAGACTGGTTCCTTGGTCATCCATCCACTAGACTTCATATGTATTTGTGTGGCTATAATCATTTACTTTACTAGGCAGTTTATCCTGATTGTTTCTTTTTAGAATACTTATGAGTGTTTTTGTTTTACAAGATTGTGAAAGAATGCAATGAAGCTGCTGGCAGAGCTCAAATACTGACAATGCAGCCCTGTAATCAACATGTGCAACCAAATTTAAAGGTGAGAATAATAGTGAGCAACACGCTCATATTGTATACCAGGGTTGTGAACTTCACACTGCTGAGGGACAACATTGTACATGTGGGTATTGCAGTCATTTTCTTATATCTTTATTCCTTTGTGATCTAATTTGCAGACTCCAGCAGCAGTGGTCTAAGTAATTTCAGCTAATTCATTATGTTGTAATGCTATCAGACTGGTTTCATACTCACATATATTTTTATGCTGTGGTTTACTATTTGAAGCAAAATAAATGACATATAATTTCAAGTATGTTCCCTGTGTTAGGCCTGTCAAAGGATTAATATGAATTCTCAGACAAACCAGGAATTAGAAGAGCAGTAGTTAGCATTTAGGAAGTAATTAATCATGTGGAATGAAGGAAACATTTTTGGAATGATGATGATACAAACATGCAAGATGAACGCAAGAAAAGAAACTCATAGAGCTAAGTAGAGATTTGTTCTTTATTTTGCTCTGTAACCACTATAAGAAATATGGATACACTGTGCATTCATAGTTCTTTACATGTTTTGGCTTATTGAGCCATCATCATGTATTTAATTTGTCCTATATACACCTGTACTTGTCTGCTGGTATTCCTACATAAGCCAGTGTTTGCATATTGGAATACTGTTTTTTAGTAATATGTAATATACATAAAGTAAAATATAATATTTCTAGCTAAGTAGAGAGAAAGATATATATAGTAATAGCCTAGGGAATGGTATCTTTTTGCAGGTACTTAAAAAAAAAAAAAGGAGAGAGGAGAAAATACAATATGCATGTGCACGTGATAGTAAAGTTGATAGACTTGAAATAAATGGTAACAAAAGATATTGTCATGTGTTAGTGACTAGACATGGGGTTTGGATTAATAATTGGATTTATTGAACACTTATAATTCGTAGGTACAAATAATTACAGCGGTCTTGCTAATTCACACACACTACCTTTCATTAAGGAGCTGGCATAGCATAGTTGGTATAACCACTGGCTATGGGCTGGATGACTGAGGGGTCAGTGTTCGAGTCCTGGTAGGGTCAAGAATTTTCTCTTCTCTGCGCCATCCATACCGGCTCTGGGGTCCACCCAACCTCCTATCCAGTGGGTGCCAGAGACTCTTTCCTCAGGGGCATGTAGCTGACCACTCACCTCCATCTAGTGCTGAGGTCAAGAAAATGTGGATCTATACATCCACTCCCCCACATGCCTTCATGGCGTAGTGCTTAATTTGTTGATCACAGGGACAACTTTACCTTACTTCTCACTACAGCACACACTGTCTTCTGAATTTGTCTTCACTAGTCATTACTTGGTAATGCATCACATCAGTGTCCTCTCCTGTTCATGTCATTACCGCCTGGTGACTGTCTCACACCAAACCCATGGCTCCAAGTGCAAGTTATGCCCTTAGATTCTTGACAGTCTTGGCCCAGATACAATAGAACACACCACTTCCAAACAATTCCCAATTGTGGAATCATGTGTTCAATGTTGTGAAACATATTTAGTTTTCATTGCCTAACAGCAGATGTCTTCCCTCATTGAAATATACCGTCATTGTGTCCCAACATTATCAAAAGGTTTTATTTTCGAGGAATAAAGACAGAGAAGATAGGAAGTGAACAAAAAGACAGAGGATGAAATAAATATGCACAACAAATATTCAATTCTTTCAATAATATTTATGAAATAAGCTGTTTTTCACTAAAACAAGTATGTCAATCACAAAAATGGCAGTCAAAAGTTGTAGCACATAGTTGTTTTGCTATCTGCTTTTCTGTGTGATAGACATGGATGTACATACCAGCTATTATGCAGCTTTGAAATATTGATGTTGCTTAAAATCATATTTTCATACTACAAATTAAAAAGCACAAAGAAAAAAATACAAAATTGAGACAATCCTCTTTTAACTTAAAGTTTAATCACAAAGCTGTGACATCATACAGAATTCTTGTATCCAGATTTGCAATCAATGTAAGAGATAAAGTTGTCTCCGTGTTTAACTAATTAAGCATTAGGCAATGAAGGCATATTTGGAGTAGATGTAGAGATCCACATTTTCTTGAGTAGTCACCTTCATGCACCAGCCGCTTTTCCCCCAGAGAAAGAACCCGGCCAGTACCCATTAGATAGAAGACTGGGTGGGCCCCAGACCTGGTCTGGACAACGTGGAGAAGAGAAAATTCTTGACTCTACCGGGACTTGAATTCCAACCCACTATAACCATATTAATTAGTGTAAATATAGGAGAGAGAATTAATGACTTTGATAATTCTTCTGATGTGGTTTCTCTCAAATTTAAAATGAAATTTGGAAATAATGCATAGTTAGAAAATGATGTGTTTGGTTACCATAAGAACTTAGAAAATCAGAGGTTAGTGACAGATAATTTTCTATAGTGTAACCCAATGTACAAGGGAGAGAAACTAGATTATTCAATTAAAAAGAGTAGGGGATCTATTCTGAGGTGTTGCAGTGAAATGAGAGATCATGCAGAAGAAAGAGAAAGCATAAAATTGTGTAACTGATATGCAAGCTTGTTAGAAAAGCAAGAAAAGTAACATGGAAATGTTGCTGTCACTCACTAGTTTCATGATTGTTTGCTGCTGACATGAATAAACTTAGGGAATGCTGGGTTTTTGGACTTTGCTCATCATAAGGAATTCTAAAGGGCACTGATGAACACAGTGTTTCAGAAACTGAATCTGTTTCCATCTTCATGTGAGGGGGTAGGAAACACCTAATCTGTTATATCCATTAGGATGATCTAACCTCAATCACTGGTTCTGGATCAGAATAAACTTGTGTGTGTTTTCATTGAATATGACCTTCAATGTCTAAATTGCAATTTAATTGAAGAAAATACAAAGGAATATTAATCAAACCAAAATACATGATATTTGAGGTTACATGTCAGTGGAAATTTAAATTCTGTTCTAGAATTTTGTGTCCACAATTTAATACCATACATAATATTTATCACATACTGAAACAGATAATCAGCACAACAAACATGATGAATTTAACTTGGTTTAAACATATATCTGTTTTTAATACAGAGGAGAGCAATTTGTGATTAAGCAGCGAGGAGTTTTGTGTTTGTGTATTGATGGGAATGGGCATGGGTGTACATGTGCGGGAACTATAGTAGTTTAGTAAGTGAAGTGATAGGCTATGGAGTGGATGGCCAAGGCTCAGTTCCTGGTATGAAAAATAGGACTCTCATTTCCATCGCCACATGCGGATTAGCTCTGCAGCCCAAATGACTTCTTTTTCAAAAAGTACCATGTCACAAGTATTCTTTGCTCAGATAAAGACTAATATAATTTAAAAACAAAATTAGATGTTGTTTTCAATCATATGTTTTCGTGGTTTCAAAATAATCAATTAGTGTTAAATCTGGATAAAACAAAAATAATAAAATTCACCCCAACAGCAGCTATGAGCTACCCTCTATGTACATTCTTTTTTAACAAAAAGCTGAAAGGAGTAGATATAATAAAATTTCTCGGTTTTCAGCTGGTCAATCATCTAACTTGTAAGGGACATATCGATTTTTTGCTTCACAAGTTGAGCACAGTTGGTTTTCTAATGCATAAATTATCCTATATATTAAATATAAATAGTCTTAATGCTGTATATTATACATATAATCATTCATTGGTGAAATATGGAATAATATATTGGGAAAATACATCAGACAGTCATAAGGCCTTCCATATTCCGTATTGAGGGGGTGGGTTTCCCCATGCACTTAGACCGGTTACTGGTCCATTGTGCATCCCCCTTTAATTTCTACTGTCTCCATACCCTACCGGTATTGGTGCTTACTATCAGCCCCTTTCTGCCAGCGATGTTCCAACCGCTTACTGGCAGTGGTATCTAATAGTTAGTGTCTTTCTGTCAGTGAGGTCATCCCTCCTCTGGCAGGGGTTCCTAGTCCCTTTCTGCCAGCAAGGTTTCTACCCTCTACTTGGCAGTGGTATCTAATACTTTAGTCCCTTTCTGTCAGAGAGGTCCCCCCTCTTCTGGCAGTGGTACCTGATACTTCCCCCATCTACCGGAGGAATTGGAAACTAGTTGGGCGGGAAACTTGGCCTAATTTTGCTCAGAGGTCTCCTAGAGACATGAGGTTCTTTTACGTGCCGTAAATCTACGACACGGCACCCACGGCTTAAAGTCCCTCCCAGAGGACTTCTTCCCTGAATTTTTCCGCCCTTAAAAATTCCACGACCTCCGCTGGGTTTTTGAACCCCCGTACCTTGAGTCATGAGGTGGGAACGTTACCCCTGGACTATGGAGACCGCTGTCATAACGTCTTTGTTATACAAAGGAAAATAATAAGAATAATGATGGGAGTGTGCCCAACTCATACATGTAGAGATTTATTTAAAAAGCTTGACATACTACCAATCTCATGTGTGTATTTGCTCTCATTGATGATATTTGTTGTTAATAATTTGGCCAAGTTTCAAACCAATAACTCTGTATATGTCGTTGGTACCATGAGGAAGGACCACCTTCATATGCCTTCAACACATCTATCATTCATTCATGTTTTATTTGTTCACAATATCTACATTTGGCGATATTGCCTCAGATATAGAACACATCCATATAGTTTAAGTGTCCATAAGGATAGTGTCATAACAGAGTACAGAAAGTACAAATATACAAATGTAGTTTAAAAACATCCAGAGAACCACGTTATAACAGAAAACCTCATACACATAATAACAATTCACCATCATAACAGTAATTATAAACACGCAAAACACATGATAATGCCACCTATTTAACTTAAATTTCATCAGTACAATTTAAGGTATCTAAAATATCTTTGAGGACAAGGTCCCATAATATACAAACAGCTTATCGTACTAATAGATACAAATAAATCATTTTATTCACAATTCATTAAAATTGGTTCCGGATTCAGTCATATTGCAATTATGATTTAAATCTTGTATCTTAAAAATATAATATAATATTACATTTAATCCTTATAGTTAAAGTATTCATTCATGGTATAAAATGACTGAAGAAATAAAAAAAATTTTAATACCAATTTAAATTGTTCAGCATTTTGCAGTATCTCCTTTATTGTGGCTGGTAAGCCATTAAACACCTTTATTCCGNCACATGATAATGCCACCTATTTAACTTAAATTTCATCAGTACAATTTAAGGTATCTAAAATATCTTTGAGGACAAGGTCCCATAATATACAAACAGCTTATCGTACTAATAGATACAAATAAATCATTTTATTCACAATTCATTAAAATTGGTTCCGGATTCAGTCATATTGCAATTATGATTTAAATCTTGTATCTTAAAAATATAATATAATATTACATTTAATCCTTATAGTTAAAGTATTCATTCATGGTATAAAATGACTGAAGAAATAAAAAAAATTTTAATACCAATTTAAATTGTTCAGCATTTTGCAGTATCTCCTTTATTGTGGCTGGTAAGCCATTAAACACCTTTATTCCGGCATAATAGGCCCCCTTCTGAAAAACTGTCAGTTGAGATAGCAGTTGATGTAAATCATGTTTTGCCCTAGTATTAACATTGTGAATGGCAGAGTTTGTTTCAAAATAATGTCTATTATTGATCACAAATAAAGAGAGTGAATAAATATATTGTGATTTTAGTGTTAATATTTTTAGTTCTCTTAAATGTTTCCTACATGACTCTCTACTTGTAATCCCCTTAATTATTCTTATAGCTTTCTTCTGTAATCTAAAAATGAAGTCACCATGACAAGTATTTCCCCAAAATATTATCCCATAGGTCATGATCGAATGAAAATAAGCATAGTATACAATTCTTACTATTTCCTGGGACAGGAGAGGCTTTATTATTCTAATTGCATAGCAGGCTGAGCTTAGCTTAGTTACAGTTAAGTCTATATGAACCTTCCATGAGAGAATATTATCCAGTATTAATCCGAGGAATTTAGTATTATACGCATTAGTTATTTTGTTATTTCCGTTCATTATATTTAATTCAAGTAGCGTATTAGCCTTCGTTACAAACTGCATGAATTGGGTCTTTTCTACACTTAAAGATAAAAGATTGGAAGTAAACCATTCATTTATACTTTGATATATTTATCCTATCAGAGAGGGGTGTATTGTTCAGGTGTCAAGCTATTTAATTCTCTGCCATCAAATATCACAGTTTTAAAAATGATAAAAAGCAATTTAAGTTTGTTTTAAAAAATTATTTTTAATTATTATTATAATATTTATTATTAAAAGTAATGCATTTTACTCTATTGATGAATTTGTCGAGCATGCAAGTGGCTCAAAAGTTAAGAGTTAATAAATGGTCTATGTGTGAATTATACATTGTTGAGACTTGCTTGGTGTAAGTGTAGTAGTATGTATGATGTCAGCAGCCTCCGTAGTCTAGGGGTAACGTTCCCACCTCATGACTCAAGGTACGCGGGTTCAAACCCGGCGGAGGTCGTGGAATTTTTAAGGGTGGAAAAATTCAGGGAACAAGTCCTCCGGGAGGGACTTTAAGCCGTGGGTCCCGTGTCGTAGATTTACGGCACGTAAAAGATCCTCATGTCTCTAGGAGACGTATGAGCTAAATTAGGTAAAAAGTTTCCTGCCCAAGTAGTTTCCAATGCCTCCACTAGATGGGCAAACATTGGGTACCGCAGCCAGCCTTGCTGGCTGAACGGGGCTGATAGTGAGCACCAGTACCGGCAGGGTATGGAGCCTGGTAGAATATCAAAGGGGGACGTACAATAGACTATTAGTTGCGGTGCATGGGGAAACCCACCCCCTCCAATAATAATAATAATAATAATGTATGATGTCTGTTTTTGTTATGAATTTTAATATTTTATAATGTAACTCCCTCTCGTTGGTGGCTCCACCTTATCGTGGTGAGGGGGTTTGAGTATGCCAAGGACCCTGAGAGCTATACCAGCGGTAGTGTAGCTACTGGCAGGGCCTCCCTTGCTGGACAGGTCAAAGGGTAGGCATCAGACGAAGAGAGACACCAAAAACCGATGCTGGAAGCAGCGTCATCAGCAGCGACTTGAAGCACAGAGCAAATGATGCTCGAGATGGTTCAAGTTCATATAGCAACAGGCATGACCAGAGTGGTTTGAACGGCTGTTGTAGTGCGATGTAGAAAGCAAATGGAAAAACTACGACATTATCACTTTTCCTGGATAGTCTCTTTCCAAAAGCAGAGATACCATATATGCGAGATGTTTCCTCTGGAGACAAAACAATCCGGAGGTAAACTACTCCCCCAGTCAGATCTCTGGGGAGGGGGGAGTGTTTCTAGAGGAAATGTCATGCATGCGTTATGACAAGAAAAAGTGCGAAGATCAGAAGGAACATCACATGTACAAGATTGGAACATGGAATGTAAGGACCTTGAATCAAGCAGGCAAATTGGAGAATTTGAAAACGGAAATGCAGAAGAATGAGGTGTCTGTTTTAGGTGTCAGCGAAGTGTGGTGGAAAGGACAAGGTGAAATAAGAAGTGGTGATTATACAGTGTATTATTCTGGAGGTGAACGGGCTGAAAGAGGTGTGGCAATAGTGGTGCATAAAAGTGTAGTGAGGAGTGTTGTTAAGAAGATTGTTTGTAATTACAGAATTATTGCTCTGAAGTTAAGAAATCGGAAGGCTAATTGGATGGGTCGTATCTTATGCAGTAACTGCCTTCTAAAAGAAGTTATTAAAGGAAAGATAGAGGGGCGGATAGAAGTGACCAGAAGACGAGGAAGAAGACGTAAGAAGATGCTGGATGACCTTGGGGACAGAAGAGGATATTCTCATTTGAAGGAGACAGCTCTAGATCACATCAAGTGGAGGAACTGTTTTGGAAGAGACTGTGGACCTGTCGTCTGACAGATTACTCATGAATGAATGAATAATGTAACTGTTTGGATGATATGGCTTGCCAGCGTGTGTGGAATGGCAAGGTGTGAATTTGATTGTGGTTTTTCCATGACCTATGTGTGTTGTCCTGCCAACTTGAGCTATTCTGACTCAGGCTTGATTTTATATTTTATTGGGTCAAGGCTGAATGATGTGTAGTCATTTGTAATATGTGACATGTTTTATATCCAGCCCTACGGGTAGATGATTTGATCCATGAAATGATAAATAAATGTAAATGTAAACAGTAATTTCAAGTTTTCCATTTCGTTTATTTTCTTACACATTCAGACAGTTACAACTTTACGATGAATAATGCATTGATATTTTTGCTTTTCCAGACACACAGCCTAAATATGAAACAGCACTCTCAAGAAAAGAAGCAGAAAACAGTCTGGAAGATATTTACACTAGGGAAAGAGAAAATGACTTGATCTGTACTAAATTTTGTTTCAGTCATAATATTTCTCATTCAGGTATTTCTATTTTCCAAACCCCTGATCAGAATATGCCTCATCTCCACTTTAAAAATAAAATTTAATGACTATTTTGGAAGAAAATATTGGTAATTTATCCACTGGCAAGATGATACAGACTGCAGGTACCTATTATATGGAAAAACAATTAATAAGACAAAGTTATCCCACAGCTGACAAGTGTACATACTACATACAGCACTGATCAAGGATGCTTATCTCAAGTGTGGATGAGGACGAAAACCCTGTATGCGTTCCTCTTCTCCCCCATTCATGACACATGCCATGCCCATTTGGACCTTCTTCACTTGATGATTCTAATTAAATTTGGCAAAGAGTATAACTTATAAGCTATTATTTATGACATTTTCTCCAACCTGCTATTAATTTGTTCCTCTTTGGTCCAAATATTCTCCTCAATATCCCATTTTCAAATACCTTCAGTCTATGATCTTTTATTAATGGGCCTTGCCAGTACAAATATAAAAAGTGTTCAGAACATGTGGAAATCTGCAGATCATCATGGAAGCGAACTATGAATAAGTAACTGTTCTTTGTTTTGTAAAGACACCACTTTGTTTATTCAAATATATCTAGACCTGATATTATTTAAAAATAAAAAAGTACATCATGTGAGGAGTGTGTCATATTAATTTTACTATTATCACCAAGTCACTGAACCATTAAAACAAATTGTGATACCACTAGGAGAACTAAATCCAGTACCAGCTTTACAATAGCATTAAAAAAGTGACATGTAACTCTGTCACAGAGCTGAATAAGTATTCTTGCAAACTGGCTGATAAGGATCTTGAGTAACAGTTCTCAAATGTGAGAACCATATACATCGCAATAAGAATAGTGTGAAACTGCAGCAAATTAATTTGTTTGGCAGACATATGGCGCACATCAGAGGAAGGGAATCAGTACAATTAGGAATTGGAATCAACAGGTAAATGCTGTCAAAAATGTAGCTTATATCAATGTGTATATTGCATAAAAAGGTAAAATTGAAGAGCCAGCATACCTCCCAAGACCTCATATTGGGTTGGTCTTTATACTTATTCTGATGGCAGTTTTATTCTGTCCCTCAATGTAAATGATGGGGTAATAACTTTAAAAAAGTGAAGATATCTTCCCCTCCTGTCCAGGGTTCACAGTTATCCTGTTATAACCATATCATGTAATATGATATGAACTTATAACATTAGTTGTAACCTTAAATAAGTCATGGGACAGATTATTGGTTTGTTAGTGTGTTTCAGCTTGAAATACAGAGATTATCCAAATGTGTTTGTACTCATCCACAGTCTTGACGTTTACCTTTGCAGAACATATCTACAGTACTGTTGGAAGAACTAATTAGGTGCCAAGTCTTCGTGTCCCACATTGTATTCATAACGGAATTTGCTCTCTAAAAAGTCATGCATTTTTCCTTTGCCTTGTATTTAGTTAAATATACGGTTTAGACAAATATACTGAATAAAATTTACAGATCATAATGAGACCCATATATTTTTAAGTGACCCATTATAATGTGATGACACAGATATGAAAAAAATCCTTGCTGATACATGTTCCGTGAACCTTTTCTGGATTACATAGTTCCCTCATTCAACATAGCCACAGTTAAAGAGGTTTGGATGTGGCCATCTTCCACTCCTTAAAATGTTAATTACAGTGAACAAAATGATAATGAGAATATTTGGACCTATGATGGATGAAGTAAAAGGAGAATGGAGAAAATTACTTAATGCGAAGATTCAAACTTTGTGCTCTTCCAAATATTGTTCGAGAAATCTAATCAAAGAGAATGAAGCAGACGGGACGCGTGAAGAAAATTTTAGTCGTAATATGTGAAGAGATCTTTTCGAGGACGTAGGCTTCGATTTGGGGATAATGCTGAATTGGATCTTAAAATAAATATGGTGTGAGGATGTGGGACTGAATCCCAGTGGCTTAGGATAGAGTTCCGTAGCAGATAATATAAATACGATTATGACTCTTCGATTTACATAAAAGTACGGAAACGCTTTTGACCAGGATCATGAGCAAGGTGGGTATGACGTAATATCATTGGCGCTCTGATCCGTCGATGCGTGCGCACTGCAGTAGCACAGGATGCCTCCTGGACGCGCTGCGGTCGACATAACCTCAGACTGAAGTAGTAAATGATCTCCACAAAACTGAGCAGACTGGCCCCAAAGAACAGAGCGACAGCGCTTCCCATTGACACTGGAACAAGGAAGCAGCCAATACTTAACACAAGGTACATGACCCATATTCCAAATTGTTGTAATTGAGGCGATGCAGTCACAAAAAGCTGGAAATCGAATTAATTTAATGGAAAGAGAAATGTTTCTGATATCTGCTGTCTCATCGGGGTACAAAGGAACTGAATAAAATATTGTCAAATTGTCGGAATTGAGAGCTGTCACCCAAATTCCGACATGGGGGTTACCCATATTTCAACACGGATATAGTAAATTTCCGGACATTTGAACGTTATACAAGTACCAAATGTGCTTCTTAGTGTACCTGTTAACCTCATTGACAGACCTAACAATTTAATTTGTCACTTGATATCCTACCGCACATTCTGCTCTCTTGCCATCGCAACGTACGTAACTGGGTGTACACATGATCTAAGGAAACCAACATGACGCCAATATTTCGCCCTTTTAATCATTGTATTCACAGCTAATTAGTTTCCGGATAATAGAGCTTGCCGGATCGTCCAGTGCCACATATTGCAGCTCCTATATTTACTCATATAATAGGCATGGTCCTCAGCCGTTGATGTCTCTAGCATATAAGTAATATCAGGATTATATTCCATCAATTGCAACAATGTTTTTAACAGTAAATAAATCCTGCACAAGTTTCGGCCGGGGCACGCGGTAGCGTAGTTAGCTGAGGCACTATGTTACAAGCCGGAAGGTCGCGGGTTTTATTCCCGATGAGGTCACGGGATTTTTCAATTGACCTAATCCTTCCAGCCGCACTTTGGTCCTGGGGTCAACTCAGTCTCTAACAGAAATGTGTATCAGGAATATTCCTGAGGGTAAATGCGGCCGGGGCGTTAGACTGACAACCTCACCTACATCTATGAGCCGATTTTCTAGGAAATGTGGGAGCCTCGACGTCTCACAACCTTATGGGCCTCCAAAGCCTAATTACAGGGATAGCGTTACCTTTACCTTTATACGTTCCAGCAAATGATCAGAAGGTGGAAAACACCTCAAAAGGAATGCTTCGCTTGAATTATGTGCATCCGTTGTCCTGGAAGGTTTAAACAATAGTATTTAAAATATGTTTTTAAAGTAACACTATTCTTTATTTTCTGTTGTTAAAACATTGTTGCAGTGGATAGAATTTAATCCTAGTTCTACTTATAACTTAGATTTATATTTTAATCGTCGTGACAATCTTGGCATATGCACCGTGCCCTAAATTACCATCAGTGTCGGCACATTCTTCGTGCACGTACTCTTGACACTCACTGTATAATGAGCGATTTTGCCCTGCCTGAATGTAATACAAAATAGACTTTATGTTACTGACTGCAGGATTCTACCGGCACTCGGTTTGCAAGGATTCTGGGACGAGTTCTTCGCTTTTCCGGCATGCAAAAGTACGCCACTTCCTGGTATTACATATATCTTAATATACAGAATGAGTCTCAAGGCATCATCTAGGCATTTTCAGCTCTCTCCCGGTTATCAGTGTTCATTCATGTTATCGCTCATTTATATCTCAGTGGGTAGAACTACTAGCTGAACGGCCGGGGTTCAATTCGTGGAAAGTGCAAAGATATTTTTCTCTGCTCCACAGCGTCCAGAGTGGTTTTGGGGCCCACTCAGCCTCCTGTCCGATTGGTACCATGGGTTCTGTTCCTGGGGGTAAAGCGACTAGAGCGTGAAGCTGACCACTCACCTTCGCCTTCTGCCAAGGTAAAGAAAAACTGAGCTATACCTCCACTCCCCCATACGTCTTCACGGCACAGAGACAACTTGTTTTTAACGTTTGTTTATTTACCGATGATGTCTGTAGCTCAAATTATGTAACGTCGAATGGCCGTGAAAAATTAATTTGTAAGGATATGGGCGGCAAAGATCGCGGACTAATTTAAGACACTATGCCAGCATTTGTTGGAAAGGGTTGAGGGAAACCACGGGATCCCTCAGGACAGTCGTTCTCTCGGCCGAGATTTGAACACGAGACCTCACGAATACGTTGGAGTGCTATCCCCGCGGCTGGGACGCAGACTTCAGCAGTATCAATACGCGAGTTGGAGCAAAACATTAGCATTCATTGCACCTGCCGAAACTGCGCACCCTACGGAGTATGCACGTACATTACAGTTTCACTGAAACACACAAAATGTGGAGCTCTGTCTGCGATGCTGAGGAACATTTCAAGTTGAGGATTTTTTTAAGTGTGAAACTCAAATGAACATAGTTGATTTAGTTTCCTGTTGTGTTTTATACACATTACAATACTATCACCGCAAATATATAGTATTAATGGTGTTTGCTTATACCTACTATATGTTTCGATCCTATTTCTGGACCATCTTCAGGTGGTATACTCACTTGAACATCATCCCTTTGTATTGTTACGCCATACATTCTAATAGAACATTGGTCCCTTGTTCAATGGCATTAACCAGTTGGATGTACATATATCATATGGTCAAATTGTGAAATACGTAAATATAAACGTGAGAATATGCAAACAATAAATTTACTTTAAATGTAATATACCGTGTGAAAATGTGGGTGAGATATTTAAGAGGGCTATTCGGAATGTAACCTTTTATTTTAGGCTTCTAATGTAGGAGCCGGGGAGAGCTCGCGCATGCGGAGTAGCGTCACGACTCATTGCCTTATAAACCATCACATAACTGGTCATGTGGTGTTTGTTCTTGTTTCTACAGGGTGAGTTATGATGTTTTCCTGGGATTGATAATTCTGCCCGCTGATAAATTCGCGCTGTCATCCACTTTCTTCACGCTAAAAACATGAGTGCTGCGGAAATCCATCGTGAATTATGCGCGGTTTACTGTCAAAATACGTATAATGAGTTAAGGAAGTGTAAGACAATGGTGTAGAATGTTCGAAGATGCGCGGGCGAACAAACGATCGCTATGAAGAGGGAAGTGGTGGGCCATCTGTAGTGAGTGATGTTCTTATTCAAATTGTTGACCAAAAAAAATTGCGAAAGACGAGGTGTCACAATTTCAGAATTCTCCTGTGAGTTTCCACACACACCACACACTGCAAACTGTTTGAACGTATTCCATTTTACGCACCAGCGCTGCTATACATGCCTTTCCGCGTCTCTTCATGGCATAGTGCTTAATTAATTAAGCACAGGGACAACTTTGACTTATACTTTATTGTCATTTGTTGCGTTTATGAAGCCACATCCGTATTTACGTGCGCTGGAGACATGCAAACGGGAACCAATTAATTCATTCTTTATTACTTCCACAGGGTGCGGCTTGCAATCATGTTATAGGCTCATTGTAACGTGACGGTACAACAAATAGTGATGAAACACCCAGATCACCAAGCTGACGAACCTCGAGGTTGTATATGTGTCAGTTCTTCAAACTGACGACCGGGGTTTCTTTCTGACAGGTCTTGTCTGCATACCGGCAAATCAGGACAAGATCCCCAGCCCACATCTTCGTCTATAAAAGGGGGCCTTAGCTATTTCGTTGGGGGTAACTTTAAAAATAAGTGAAGCCGGGCACTAACCTCTCATCGTGCCATGTTTGAAACTGAATGGATATAAACTAAGGTTTATAAGGGGTTAATGTGACTAAATATCAAAGTGGATAACTAATGTCATACGAAATCTTGTCATATAATAATTACACCAAATTCTGAATGGCGAGAAAGATTAGTTACGTTACAGGATCATGAAAACCCTCGTCTAGACACACAACACGAAGAGTAACCCAGCAAAATCGAATACACGGGTACGTAGATGGGACTGCACGTTGAGTATTAGTACCACAAAAACGCAAGCACGGCAGTCTCCTCCAACAAATTTAAATATCTGTCGAAACGTGTACAGAAAATTTGACATGAATTTTAAAAAGACCAACTGTGTATATGTAAGTCAAAATGGCCTATTAACGTTGTGTACACATCAGTCATATTATATTTCATCAAATTTTGAGGAACAGTTTGGAGATACACAAAGACGTTCGTTTATACGAACGTATTATATACAGGGTGTCCCAGGAGGAATGGACCAAACTTCGGGAGGGTGTTCCTTATGTTAAAGTATGCCGATATAACCCAAAACACCTATGTCCAAAGTTGAACGGTTACGGAGATAATGGCCCAAGAAAAGTGTGGTCTTCTGGCGGGTTCACGCACTGTACCTGTCAGCTGAGAGGCCTTATCTATGTTTGTCCTTGAGTGCCGTGATTCACCCTAGCCGTACTTATGTAGTTGGCTTTATCAGAACGCGCAGTCAAGTCATATTACGTCAGCGCTTGCCATTCATGTGTCATGTATAGTGCTTGGAAACCCTAAGGACAATTATGACATGGCGAGCGAGTATTTTGTACTTCAATTTTATGGCTTCACGTCACTCAGAAGTTAGTTTGATGTTACGTACTTTATTAACATTACAGAATCCACATATTCCTGCCAGTTTTAATATGTATTTTGTAATCAACAAGTGTGCAACGCCGGTCAAAGTTTGACACTTCTCTGGCCATTATCTCCGTAACCGTTCAACTTTGGACATAGGTGTTTTGGGTTATATCGGCATACTTTAGCATAAGGAACACCCTCCCGAAGTTTGGTCCATTCCTCCTGGGACACCCTGTATATATGTATAAAGTGGGTTCGTGATAGGTGATTGATGCCGATAATCGAAACCTACTGACGACTTTTAGTGAAAACTTCAAATGACTAATTTTAAACAAGAAGTTCTGGAAAGAACTAATCGCTTAATTTCCTTGATAATACACGGACGGCATAGAAAAAAACGCGTCCAACATTTTTTTCTTTTTACTTTTGCGTGTGTATTCGTTGCCGCTGCAACCTGTTTACCGAGCCGTAACGTAGCAGCAATAATGGGATACACATAGAGACAGAGTTTGGTGGGAGAGACTTAAGAAGTACGCCGTTGAGATGTCCTCAGACCCCATGATATACATACCAAATTTTATGAAGATAAGTTCAGCCATTCAGAAGTTCATGGGGGAGACACAATATTTATACTGATGTATCATCGTCAAAAACTTTTAGATCTTATATAAATAAGAGGATCTTTTCCCCCCCTTTTTATTTTCTGAAAGTCCCTTAAAATTGTTCAAACAGTGTATTCTAATCGACCATTGTTGTGATTTTGAAACGAATTATGCAGATGCTGCAAACCGTAGAGCCCTGAGCTTCCCATTAAATCCCCATTGTGTTTAATCCAAGAAAAACAAACATTAATAATTTCTAAGAAATAAAGTGTTTTCTCTATTATTTATTTTCACGTTAGGAGAAAATATCAATTTGCACATCAGAGCTACGAAATGTGCATATCCCTCAAGAGAGAAGTTTCGAATTCCGTTTCGGCCTCTACCTCACGTACTTTTCCTGCACGAGCGCTTATCACTGGCCGTGACAGCACCTCTCAAGTCTGTTCAGGATGTTTGGAGTTCCAGGACAGGTTCCATTACACATGAAATTCGATTCCGAGTGATATTATCGGGTGAACCGCACCCACAGGTAATTCCCCGGCCGTAGCCCAATAGGAAGTCAACACGATATCGCTCCCTGGCCAATGTCTGCTCTAAGCACATCGTGAACATTGTACACGTGATGAACGAGCGAACTTCAAATGATGGGAAAATTAACGAATTTCTGCTCTTTGCCATTACTGTCAAGCACTATTCTAAATTGTAAAGTATTCTGTCTGTAATGCAACAAAATCAATCCTTCCTTAAAATACACTAAAATATATTTAATTCAGTAAAAAGTGTTTGTTAAATATTTTCAGATGTCATTAATTTTGTACGTTCGTTGTCATTGCTACATGTTTCGGCTTCACATGGGCCTTCATCAGGCAAAACTTATTCTGGGGAGACAATTGCACTGTACAATTTGTCCTTAGTACCCTCAGCACATCGTTGTTTTTGTTAATTTACGTCGTAGGATGTTTTCATCCTATCTCTTTTAGCGGCCGTTTCAGTGTTCCTTTTTAGTATGTCGTTCAGTTTAGTTGTGTGTCTAGTGTTGTCTGTTCCTTGTACTCAAGGAAGTACAAGGAACAAACAGCACCACACACAAACAACTAAACTGAACGACACACTGAACAGGAACACTGTAACGGCCGCTAAAAACATAGAATTAAAATATCCTATGAAGAAAATTAATGATGTGCCTTAGGGCACTAAGGACAAAGTGTACAGTGCAGTGGTCTCCCCAGAATAAGTTTTGCCTGGTGAACGCCCAGGTGAAGCCGAAACATGTAGCAATGACAAGGAATATACAAAATGAATGACATCTGAAAATATTTAACAAACACTTTTTACTGAATTAAATATATTTTAGTGTCTTTTAAGGAAGGATTGACTTTCTTGCATTACAGAGAGGATACTTTACAATTTAAAATGGTGCCCCAATACAACAGGATTCTGAATACAATATTAGGCTAGGAACACACACAGCGACATCGGTCGCACGACGTCCGTACGCTTCATGTCGCATCAAGTAGTAGAATATAATGTGTAGTCTTAGCTTTCATACTTGATGACATGCGACATCTACCGTACGACAGTCGGAGAACAAAGAAATGTATTTGGTCGCTCTAGTGTGAAAAGGAGGTCGTACGGCAAAAAAATCGTACAACATTTTTCCGTACGTCCGATGTTGCTGTGTGTATTCCTAGCCTTACTGTCGAAGACTGACTAACAGATATCATTAATATCTTACTTTCGTGGAAGTTCAGCGGCCGGAATTTTAAGCTATGCCTCTCACCTTCATACAGTGTCGATAGATATACTGATTATTTCTGTCTCATGCATCTTATATTTTTTCATGCCGTGGTGATAACAGTCGTACACAGGAACAACTTACCCACGAGATCCAGTTTATTGCGAACTACGCTGCGTTTGTATTTCTCCGAAGGTAGGTAAAGAAGTTTGAGCTCAACTGAGGATTCTGCTGCGTTTTCCCCGCTGTGTAACACATGCAGATACAAATAATTAACATAAAGAAACATAAAGATGTTAGCTATTCGAAGATGTTTGATTCCACCTGCCGTGCTGTGTAATGTCGTACTCACTTTACGATTTCTTGGTCTCTTCTTAGGATTGTATCGATTTGAATGTCCTCACAACCTGAAAGGCAGGGACAGTTCAGGGCATCCTTCTTCGTGACCCAATGTGCCTTCAGGGATAACAAAAAATATTCATTTCTTTTTATACAAAAGATATTATTAATGTCACAAATCTTGCCTGTCTCACCTGCAACAAAGAACGAAAGACATATATTCTTACAATCGCAGTTCTTAAATATGTACTTATTGTCACGTGTTAGAGTGACTCTCGACGGGGTTTTGGATTTGAGATTGGATTTATTGGCCACTTATAGGTCATAACTACAAATAGCTATAACACTATCGCTATTTCCCACACTTAACAAATCCTTACAGCACACACTAAGATTTTCATCCTGCTTTCACTAGTCGTTTCCTGGTAACGGATCTTAACAATGGATATTCTTCAACTGCATTGACCAAGCCTTCTCTGCGCAGACTCCCTTACAACTGACTAACTTCGTCAAAGTCACATTGTGACTGACGGTCAGTCAGTAAGTCTTGGTGTCGAGCCCCGCCTAAGGCTCATGACCAGATATTTATTACTGTTTGACAGTTACGGTCTCGTTTTTTTGGGGCGCCCTCTCTGACGAGAGGACAGGTCTGTCTTTTGTATATATGCTGCTGGGCCTTGCCAGCGCAGTCTTTCTCGGGTCCGAGTCCCTTGGCTCTCGCGACCATATCTTATTGTTTCAGTTTTGAGACTTCCCTTTTCGTCGCCTCCTACGACTGGGAGGGTCACGGCGGAAGTATTCGACCCCGCCTCCACACGGGTAGACTAACTTCAGAGAGTCAGAGTTAGAGATACTTGACGACTGGCGGTTTACCGCAATCAGTTCTTGGCATCAGACCCTTTGAGGCTCACATCCAGAGATTTTTTTTCTAACTGAACTCTTACGATAATAGTCCTTATATAACATCCTCTCTGACGAGAAGATAAATTTGTCTCTTATGAATACGCTTTGCCTTTCGTCAAGTGTATATTTCGCATATTATAACATGTTATTGAAAATTCTTCATTTTGCACTACACAGAAGTCCTCTGTCAGTACAGGCTTTTTCGAAATCTGTCCCCTGCTTTTAACATTTCGGCACGGATCGCATAGAAAACATCGTTTAGTTTTGTACTCTAACGGTTTCCTTGGAAACGTGTTTGTTTGCGAATGCGTTACTTGGTAACGGTTTCATATAATTGCTCTTTAAGTATCTTTTACCTAGCAGAGGATGTTGTTTCGTTGTTTGTTCCGACGTCACTATCCAGTAACTGCTCTACAGGCTACAGTACCTTCATAACTTGCATATACAGAATGATGCTAAAGGAGCTTTCCAAAATTCGTCGGTGCATAATTGGCAAACAGGTCTAAGTAAAATAAAAGTCCTACTAACATGGGTCCAAATAGGAAAATGTATACAGCCGTGGCAGTTTGAAAGGAAGATGAAAGCTTACTATAAATGAAAAATTCTACAAATACTTTAATGGAAAAATGAAATAACTCTTATTCGATGATGAAATATTTTACAAAATCAGAGTTTCCTCTTTATTATTTAAGTTATTATCAACGCTGTGTCCAAATGTGCGTTCTGGTCACTGACAAACACTGTACAGCTTCTGCAAAATGTTTCAGTATTAATTAACAACATTTTTAATTTTAAATTGAAGTCATTGAGCGATTTTTCATTAAAAACACTTATATTATATGCTTTCATCTAAATTTGAGAACCGGGATAACTCATTCGGCACAATGGGCTACCGGCTGGACTCCCGCGGTTCAATTCTGGCAGAGTCAAAATCGTCTCTTTACTCCACAGCTTCCGGACCGTCCCTGGTGCCCCCCCAGTCTCATGTCCAATGGGTACTTGCGATAAAGCGGCTGAAGCAAGAAGCTAACCACTCATCTCTACCTAAAGCCGAGGTCAATAACGGCGGAGTTTTAACTCCATTCTCTTATATTTCTTAATGGCGTGGTGTTAAATTAATTAAGCACAGGGGCAATTTTGCCTTGTTTTCAAACTGCCGTGACTTCTTAAACTTACCCAGTCTCACCAGTTTTAATAAGATTTTACTTTTTCTCATAATAGGTTAATTAATATACAGTGGAACCTCGCTTAACGAGCATAATTCGTTCCAGAATCTTACTCGTAATGCGAAACACTCGTTAGGCGAAACAATTTTTCCCATATAAATTAATGTAAAATACGATAATGCGTTCCATGCAGAAAAAAATACTAAAAAAACTTTATGTACGTATAACGTTTATTCAAAGAAAATTATATATACATTGTTAAGGAGCTTGAATCATCTTCATCTTTTCTTCTATGCCGAATGAACCAACCTGGAATGCCAATTCGATTTGCAGAAAACAAAAAAATATCGAAATAATTAGTTTATTATTTATAATACATGTCTAATTCTTTTTTACTAGAAAGCTGTCTACAGACATTTGTTTTTGCCGACGCTTCAAAATTTGGTGAAAATTCGACACAGCCTTATCATTAAATAAATTTGTAGCGAGCATAGCCACTGCCTTATTAGGGTGATGCTTCTCAATGTACGATGCAAAAGTTTCCCATGCTTTCAGCATTTCTCTTATTGCGCCAGAAGATTGTTGCTTTGCTGTTACCTCCTTCTCCTCCTCTGACAAACTCTCCTCCAAAACTTCTTGCTGTGAAACACAATGCAACTCCATAAGATCTTCGGTGGTCAGCTCTTGGCTGTGTTCTTCCACAAGCTCATCGATATCATTGTTATCCACCTCCAGCCCCATGGTCTTGGCCAAAGCCACAATCTCGTTGACTACAGGCTCCACAAGTACTATCTCAAACCCCTCAAAGTCACATTCGACAACACTCTCCGGCCAAAGCTTCTTCCAAGCAGAAGTGAGGGTTCTCTTGGTAACCCCTTCCCATGCCTTTTCAATCATCTTGAGGCAGGCAGCGATGTGGAAGTGATATTTCCAAAACTCTCTGAGAGTGAGATTGGTCCCTTCAGTCACCTCAAAACAACGCTCGAAGAGTGCTTTGGTGTACAGCTTCTTAAAGTTAGAAATAACCTGCTGGTCCATAGGCTGGAGTAACGGAGTGGTGTTGGGAGGCAGAAACTGGATCTTGATGAATTTAAATTCTTCAAGGAGGTCATCTTGTAGGTCTGGAGAATGGGCAGGAGCGTTTTCCATAACAAGCAAAACACGGAGTGGCAGCTTCATCTCAAGCAAAGATTTTTCACAGAAGGACCAGACACTTCATTAATCCAATCAGTAAAAAGGTCATGTGTCACCCAAGCCTTGCTGTTGGACCTCCACATCACATTTAGCCTGCTCTTCCGGACTTTACACTTCTTGAAGGCTCGTGGAGTTTCTGAATGGTAAACAAGCAGCGGTTTAATTTTCAAATCGCCGCTTGCATTGGCACAAAATAGAGTGAGACGGTCTTTCATTGGCTTATGGCCGGGCAATGCATTATCCTCTGCTGTTATATAGGTTCGCTTCGGCATCTTTTTCCAGAAGAGACCCGTCTCGTCACAATTAAAAACCTGTTGCGGCAGGTAACCCTCAGAATCTACGAGCTTCTTGAAGTCGCAGTTGACGTTCTCTGCTGCCTTTGTGTCGGAGCTTGCTGCTTCACTCTGCCTTACACCGCTGTGGATGCCGGTTCTTCTCTTAAACTTCGCGAATCACCCACGGCTTCCCTTAAATGCTTCTTCTTCTTCGGCCGTTGATAATCCTGGCGTCTTCTTAACGAGGTCGGCGAAAATCACTTTCGCCTTCTCACAAATGCAATTGCTTTTCGTTTATCCATATGAGTAGCAACCTTTCAACATCGTCGAGAATACGTAACCGTTGAGTAGGTATTCTTGTCACTCCCTTTGAAGCATCTGTCTCCTTAATCTTGTCCTTGTTCTTGAGGATAGTGCAAATCGTTGATGTAGGCCGATTGTATGTGCGTGCTAGGTCAGCCACGCTCACACTTCGTTCTCGCTTTTCAATGATTTTACGTTTCATTTCTACGGTTATTTTTAATCTCTTATGGCTGTCTTTTTGCAGCTTTTTCTTCGGTGACATTTTTGCAACGGTTATTAAACTTTGTACAAAAAAAATCACAAATAATATGTCGGAACACAAGTTTGGAAAAATGTGTGATCACAAGCGACACTAAGATGCTAGCGGAACGAGTGCTAAACACAGACTGATGTAGCAAGCTCACAATCCGGGACTTCCCCTCTCGCCGCTCGTTATGCGAAACGTTGCTCGTTAAGCGAGTCTTTTTTTTTTCAATTTGTTTTGCTCGTTATGCGAATTACTCGTTATGAGAGATGTTCCTTAAGCGAGGTTCCTCTTATAGTATATATATTACACCTGAGCCAATCTCAACGGCGTACTTCTTTAGTCCCTCCCAACAGACTGTGTGTCTTTATGTGTCTCCCTCCTATCGTTGCGTGGCAAAGGCTCTGCAGTGCATCCCTCTTTTCATTGCTAGGCAACGGCTCGGTAAAGAGATTTCAACGACAATGAACACACACAACAATTGAAGAATTGTCTGGTGTTTGTGTCTGTAGATCTGTTTGTGTATTCTCCTAGCGTTGCTAGGCAACGGCTCTATAAACATTTTACGGCGAAAGCGAATACACACGCGTCGTTTTCTATGCGGTCCGTGTCGTATCAAAGGAAAGTAGGCCAGTAGTTCTTCCCAGAATTCTTGTTTATCTTTTCATTTGCTCAAAATCGTATCGGAGTCTAGTGAATATATTTTGCAATTACTCTTAGGAACCTTTTGATTCCATGACAATGTCTTGAAGATATCAACACTCAAGAAGATCCTATACATTTTTAAACAGCTGTTAGTCGTGTGACAGCTGAAGATACAGACACTTTACCTGTGTAGGGTAAGAGGTGACGTGTACAGTTGCACAGATCCATCTCAGCCCTCCTTCGACATTCCACTATACAGGCAGAGTAGGAATAGTGGGAGTAGTAACCGGGATATCCTTCCCATGGGAAAAGACACTTCCGCTTCTTCGCTTCCATCCCCCCCACTCCATCCACATTCTCAGTCTCGTGGACAGACAGATACACTTCGTGTTGAGATCTGGGACGCGACTGCACAACCACTACGTCCGTTTCCTTCGCATTCAAGTTCGGGACATCTGACCTCGAGTGCATGAATACCTACAGGCAAATGGACACATGCTACAGAATCGAGAAAGGTGAAAAGCAAAGGTTAAATTGTGCTCATAACATTTTATTGCAGCATCCTGTTGCGCTGTTCACTTGGTGTCCATTAGTTACAGTCTCACGTGCAACACTATGTTCTATGAAATATATTAAAAGTTATTCCGTTTTAGAAGTCCATTACTACATATTTCGACCAATGTGGTCATCAGGTGCTAAAATTATTGGGAGAGGAATCTGTTGTCTTCTGTTGTTGCTTATGTTGTTAATATTGTTACCTGCCCTGGTAACGCGACAAGTAATTAATGGGTTCCGAATTAGATGAATCGATTTATTGGATATTCACCAGGCGGAACCACAATTAGGTGTAACACAATCTTACTATAACACTTCGTAACTACGAACAATGATGACACCACATAAACTACATACTTCACTTCAGTTCTGTGATGCTAGTTTGTGTGGCAGCTGATTTCATTACTTAAATAAAAACAGATAGCCTCAAGATGTCGCATAAGAATTCTTTTCCCTGTGCATACATTTCCGAATTCGGTAAGGTAAAAATGAACTTTACTCTCAAGTACCAGGGGGCACGCAGTAGCGTAGTTGGTTGAGGCACTATGCTACAAGCCGGAAGGTTCAAGTCTCGATGAGGTAATTGGATGTTTTCAATTTACCAAATCTTTCCAGCCGCACTATGGCCCTGGGGTCGACTCAGCCTCGACAGAAATGAGTACCAGAAATATTCTTGGGGGTAAAGGGCAGCCGGCCCGTAAGGCTGTCAACCTTACCGCCATCTATGAGCCGATTGTCTAGAAAATGTGGGAACCTCAACATCTCACAACCATATGGGTCTCCACGGCCTGTTACAGGGATACCTTTACTTTTACTTTTACTCTAAAGTACCGCATTATGAAGACGTACGTGGTTTGACAATAGAGTTCGCGAACTCATCGCGATAAATATGCTGCATATATCATTGCTTAATATCACTGTGGTCGCCTTCAAAGTACTTCCTTTGGGAATATGTACCGACGCCAGTGCCTAGTCCACCTTTCAAGACAATTTTGGAACTGGTTTTGTAAATTGACCTTCAGAGCTACCGTCGTATTTCTCCGCGTGTCATCAATGTCAACAAAATGCCTACCTTTCATTATTTCCTTTATCTTCGGGAACAGGAGAAAGTCATCGGGGGCTAGATCAGGTGACCAGGGAGGGTGTTCCAGCATATTTATTTGTTTACTAGCTAAAAGCTCCCTCACAGACAGTGCTCTAATTCAGGCTCCGACATTCTCGCAACGGCACACAAAAACACATTCAGACAATAATAGACGCCACTCAGAAATAGACAGCCATAGATCAACAACAACAACAACAACAACACAGCTGTGAAACGCTGATATACCAACGTCATCAAAGTATACTGACTTTTCTGACCGCTGCTGCCACGGCAAGCACGGTGGCGAGTTCGCGAACTTTATTGTCAGACCTCGTATGGCGGGGTAGAATTATATCTCCACGCATTCTGTTCCTTGGCTGTAGACGGAGGTGAGTTGTCAAGACTCACGCACTGGCCACTTTACTGCGAGCGAATGTGACCCTGTACCTATTGGATGTTCGGATCCTTTGACCTCAGTGTTGGTGAGGGAATAGGTTATAAATCCTTGCTTCTGTCCGGAACTTCTGTGCCCCGTTTGTTGAGCCCTTAGCCCCGTCATTTTACTGACCGAACTGTCCCAACTCCCTTTCAGAACTTATAAACTGGTCAGTCAGAAAAAGGTCTTCCCGGCTCGCCTAATGAATTTCTGAACTTTGACATGTTTTTAGGTAACATGATACTCGTAATTTGTTTAATACAGGTTTGTCATATAACCATCATGAGAGCTGACATTTTGAATCGCAACCATTTTGTGAGTCACGGGCTGTGTTATGTGAGAGTAATGAACACCAGAACTCACATTAGTTGTCGTCCTGAAGTGGAGCAGTAGAGAACCAGGTCCAGTGTTTCTGTCAGACTTGAAATTCATAGTCTTTCCCGGCTGCGAGCTGTTTCTGGAACATTGAGGAGGTGTACCTTAACTCATTAGGTACGTGCATTCAGCATCGCCGTAATCATAAGCTTCAATGTCCGGTGACACTGTCCTGATTTGGGAATGATTAAGAAATCCAGTCTCTCGCACTGTTTGCGCGTTGTTGATGGAACGTCAGAACCAGTCACTCAAATCCTTTCACTTACATTGCTTGCAAGTTGTTAGAGAAATAGCAAAATTATTCACTCACATTGTTTGCACATTGTTGATTGAATAGCAAATCCCCAGTTCCGTTTCCAGTTGCAAGAAGTGACTGCAACAGTCAAAATCTTCTCCGTTCCAAAGACAGCGGTCAAAAGTTTCCTCGCAAGAACTTCTTATCTGTAAATAAAACACAGGAAAGGTATTTTTGAAAGCTAAATGTCCCATAACAGCTTGGGATATTACAGGCAAAAAAGGAATACATTCTCAAGTTGAACGAAAGCGAATCCGGTGTGTTAATTTCACATTGGAATCTTTTCATTTTCATCGTAGACAACAATCTATTATTGAGAGAACAAGTCAACAGTACGAGTAGATGTACTTTGCTCAGTAGAGAAGGATGGCAAGAAATGTGAGCTATTCGGACCATCCAATAGGCCAATATAAGCTTTTACAACACTCGCAGCCAAAAAGGAAGGATATATCACAGACACAGTACACACAGAAACGACTCCCATAGTGGACGAACCATACTATACGCGAGTTTGAATTAAGACATATAGATGAATAATCTTAACAAGTTTTAGTATATACAAATTTTATTATAGTTGACGAATAATGTACTTTCTAAATAATTTTATGAAAGACACAAAATGGCAAACAATGTAATAGCTTAGCGTAAATAACGAACCTGAAGATGGCACTATGTTGCCGAAACATGTAGTAAGAAGCGACATATGAAATTGAGTGCACTACAAGACGGCCATTATATACATACGTATATCATGGAGGCCAATATATGATAACACTCAATTTTGTTTCCTGCTTCTCAAAGACCTTATGAAATATACTCTGTTACTCTTACCACTAAATATAGTGGCCATGGCTGGCTAAGTTAAAGTGCAAGATTGCACTATAGTTTTGAATAGGATACGATTCGTTATTCTGATTCCTTTCTTTTTTAGTTACATGAATATACTTTCATTTCTAATTCCAGTGTTTACTTCTTGTAAGACTTCTTGACCTGGACCCAAAGGACCCTCCCGCCCCCCTCCTTCCTTTCTCGCCTTTGCTTAATATAGTTCAGTATCTCCTGCCTAATTTCCCTTATCCATCTATCATCTGTACCATCAATCACACGAACCATTAGCTGCATAAAGGTACAAGACGTGAGCATCCTCGAAACAATACAACACGTGGCACTATTACGTCACGTGGAGGGGGCTAAGAATAGGAGAGTCGTCGTGAAGCCAGTACTTACCGTCCGAGCCAAAGACACTATGTCGATACCGGAGCAGTTAAAGACCTTCTTGCGAGAATTTTGCTGGCAGGTCTTGATCAAATATGGTGTTGTGTCTTGAAAGAAGGCGATATCGTGCATTACGGCCATTTTATTGGCGTCGTAATTCTCTTTAAAATACCTAAGGGAAAGAATTCTGCGTTTAAATATTTAACTAATGGTGTTATCATTAACTGGCTATGAGCTGGATAAACATAATTCAATTCCTAACAGCAGCGAACATTTTTCTCTTAGTCATCGCATCAAGGTGGACTCTGGAGCTTACTCAGTCTCCTACAAAGAAGACATCGAAATCACTTTCTCTTAAGGATTAAGCAGCCGGAGTGTGAAGCTGACCGGTCATTGCCGTATACTATATATATATAAGTAAAGCTATCCCTGTAACAGGCCGTGAAGGCCCATAGGGTTGTGAGGGTCCCACATTATCTAGACAATCGGCTCAAAGATGGCGGTAAGGTATGAGGCTTACGCGCCTGCCGCGCTTTACTCCCCAAGAAAATTATTTAATTAATTCCTGGGGCTCATTTCTGTTAGAGGCTGAGTCGGCCCCAGGGCCGCTTTACAAACACCCAACACGTGACAAAAAAATGTGGCTCAACAGTTCCTGCATAGAGCCAATATGTCACAATATGTACGTTAGCTTCTTACTCGTATATGAAAGAAATTTTATAAATTAAATTTCGTTTAATCATTGCAACGAAATGTCGAATGTAAAAATGTTGCGTGAACGGAAGTAATTTAGTAGGTCAAGAAGGAGGGAACAGTATTCTGTTTCAGTATGTCGTGTCGATTTTCTGAGTATTCATACATTTTTTTCTGTGGATATGTGAAATATAAATTACTCTACAAGACGCATTATTGATAGGATGCAAAATTCAGAAGGAATACTGCAGAAAACGGGTGAAATTAATAAAACCAAATTTTACCTAAAAACTATTAGGCTTCCCGTTGACTTTTAAAGGGCATTCCGCTAGTGTTTTTCCATTTAAACATGCTGTCAGTATCTCCGATTATGTGGCATAGAATGACAAGATTTTCGGTCAATAATTGTTTGGAATTTATGTGATAGGATGCAGTTTCGTTTCAATCATTGTGGATTATCACTGCTATCAACTTATTACAAAATATTATCAAACATTCTTCTCTCCAGGTTAAGTCCATATTTAGGTGAAATTATTGGGTACCATCGGTGTGGGTTTCATCGTAACATATCAACTACTGATCGCATCTTTTGAATTCGTCAGATATTGGAAAAAAAAATGGGAGTACAATGAGACAGTACACTAGCAATTCGTAGACTTCAAGAAAGCCTATGATTCAGTTAGGAGAGGAGTATTGTACAATATTCTGATAGAGTTGCAGATGCCCATGAAACTAGTTAGGTTGATTAAAATATGTTTAAAAGAAACGTGTATTAAAGCCCGTATAGATAAACATTTGTCTGATAAATTTCCTATCCAGAATGGTCTGAAATGAGGAGATGCTTTATCGCCACTGCTTTTCAACTTTGCTTTAGAATATACCATTAGGAAGGTCTAGGAAACCAGGTGGGACTGAAACTAAACGGGACACATCAGCTGTTGGTCTACGCCGATGATGTGAATCTACTGGGTGATAATATGCAGTAGATACCATAAAGAGAAACTTACAAACTTTAATTGTCTCTAATAAGGAGGGTGGTCTAGAAGCAAACACAGAGAAAGCTAAGTACATGTTGCTGTCCGTAACCAAAATGTAGGGCAAAATCATGACATAAAGATAGGTATCAGATATTTTGAAAATGTGGTAGAGTTAAGATATTTTGAAACGATTATAACAAATTAAAACCTCATTCAGGAGTAATTTAAAAGGAGATTGACTTAGGATAATTCTTGCTACCATTCAGTCCACAACTATTTGTCTTCTTGTCTGCTGTCCAAAAACATAAAAAGTAGAATATACAAAACTATAATTTTGCCTGTGGTTCTGTATGGGTGTCAAACTTGGTCTCTGGCATTAAGGGAGGAACATAGACTGGGGTGTTTGAGAACAGGATGTTGAGGAGAATATTTGGACCGAAGAGAGATGAAGTGACAGAAAGTTGGAGGAAACTGCAGAATACTCTTCTCCAAGTATAATTAGAATGATCAAGTCAAGGAGTATGAGATGTACACGACATGTAGCACGATTGGGGGAGAAGAGGAATGCATATAGGATATTCGTGGGAAAGCCAGAAGGAAGAAGATCACTAAGAAGACCTCTGTGTAGGTGGGAGGATAATATTAAAATTGGTCTTAAGAGATAGGATGGGATGGTATAGATTCGATAGATCTAACTCAGGATGGGGACCAGTGGGGGGCTCTTGTGAACACGGTAATGAACCTTCCGGGTTCATGAAATTTTCTGAAGTTCTTGAATAGGTGCACAACTGGCGGCTTCTCAAGAAAGGTTCAGCTTCAAGAAGTGAATTAGTTACGGTGGTATTTTCCTATAGTGACTGAGGAAACCACGAATGACTGAATGTATAAGGGGTGGGCCTTCTCGGCCCTAGCACCGTGACCTACAGTGATCTATTGACGAAAGACCTGAGTCTGAATAGTCAGCCTCCAAGCGAAATTTGAAACCAGGACTTCTGGGATATGAAACACGCACGCACGCACGCACGCACACACACACACACGCACACACACACACACATATATATATAAATCATATGAAATATGGTACTTAACCTTCATCAGCGCCCTGTGCCGTGATTATTAATGGATGGATGAATGGGACCATCTTACATCTTCTCCGTCCCCTCCCCCTACTTTTGCCTCCTAACAATTCCGCTCTGGGAAATAAGTGTAGTACTTTACCTAACGGGTTGTCAGATAGTCTTCTGGTTTCATAAAATAACGTCCAACGTGACAAAATCTTAAGTATATGCCGAGGTTAAGAACGAAATTTTTATTCCACTCCCCCATAAGTCTTCATGGTATGACGCTAAGTTAAAAAGAGGCGTACTTTTAATTTAACTTCCCTTATCGAGTCCCAGTAGGGGCAGGATTCTTCTCCTTTCTACGTCGTCCAGACCGGTTTTAGGGCACACTCAGCCCCTTATCCAATGGGTACCGGGAGATATTTCCCCGGGCTAAAGCGGCCGGATTGTGAAGTTGACCAATCGTCTTCAACTAAATTCGAGGTCAAGAAAACGTGGATTCACTCCCCTATATGTCTTCACAGCGTAGTGCTCAATTACGCAAGCACAGGGACAAATTTACTTTTACCTGCTGCATATCAGTCTGTTAACTGCAATGGTCAGTGAGAAGAAATTTGATTGGATTCTTCTTGGGTTATTTAACAATGTTACTTAAGCTGAATGCATTATATAGTGTCAAATAAGATATGCAGGTGATCATGAGTGAAGTTTGGAAAATTTCATAATATTTCATTTGGGCTCAAACAATTATGAAAGCTTACACCTCCCTTCAGACTTTCAGAAAGCATGGAATCTGTCAATTATTCTTATATGTGTACTCACTCAATGGCCTGAAGCTTTGACTTGTTGTTATTTTCGGTCTCACAGACGGAAACAGAGGGGAAACTGGTGGACCAATCCAGATACGTAGTGGAAACCACGAAGCTCAGTCGGTTGTTCTGGAAGGTATCGTGCGCTGAGAGGATGAGAAGAATGGATCCGTAACAAGAGAGTGTGCAGCACACGGCCCAGAACAACCTGCAAGAATAAACACTGGAATAAGGAGAATGGATCCGTTAAAAGAGAGTGTGCAGCACACGGCGCAGAATAACCTGCGAAAGCGAACAATAGACTGAGCAGAATGGATCCGTTTCAAGAGAGTGTGCAGCACACGGCCCAGAACAACCTGCAAGAATAAACACTGGAATAAGGAGAATGGATCCGTTAAAAGAGAGTGTGCAGCACTCCAAAGACAACAGTTTGCAAGAATGGATATTGGAATAAACAGGGTGGATCCGTTACAAAAGAGGGTGCAGCACACGGCCCAGAATAACCTTCGAAAACGAACATTAGACTAAGCAGAATGGATCCGTTACAAAAGAGTGTGCAGCACACAACCAAGAACAACCTGCGAAAGCGAAAAACAGACTAAGCAGAATGGATCCGTTACAACAGAGTGTGCAGCACACAACCAAGAACAACCTGCGAAAGCGAACAACAGACTAAGCAGAATTAACCCGTTACAACAGAGTGTGCAGCACACAACCAAGAACAACCTGCGAAAGCGAACAACAGACTAAGCAGAACGGATCCGTTACAACAGAGTGTGCAGCACACAACCAAGAACAACCTGCGAAAACGAACAACAGACTAAGCAGAATGGATCCGTTACAAGAGAGTGTGCAGCAGACAGCCAAGAACAACGCGCAAATATGAATGTTAGAAGATGTAAGTTACCATTGCTATTATATTGCATGATTTCTGAATTCTGAAATTTAAAAATGCACGTTTGTTAAAAGTCGTCCATCTGGTTCTTGGATTTTTGTTCAGAAAGGATAACAGTATAAATAGAATGAACTTTAAGGCCTATATTAAAAGAAACGAATCCAGAAATTTACTGTATTTTCTAACCAACGAAATATCATTTTCTTATGTAGTGAATTTCTTAGTGAAGTGAATGCTTTTGATGTTATGGTCTAGCTGCACAGGGACGAGTCTGTAGTATGGAATTAAATAAAAGCAGTTTCGAACAAGGACGAATAAATCTAAAACAAACCCACTGTGAGCAATTAGATTTATTTTTGTCAGAAACGCAATAATATGTCGAGATAAAAAGAAGGTTGTTTTTAGATCCTGGCAAATTTTTCTAGTATCTGAAGAAGAATCAGATTGGTGGCTTGTAACGAGCTGATATTTCCGGTACGCACAAATCGATATTTTTGGAAGTCTGTTTGGCATATTTTCTTTTATTATGTACTAGATATACGGGCCAGACTTGAACATACACCTAGAAAATCACTGAAACTTTATTTCAAGAGAATGGAGCGTCAAAGTCTAGTGAAAAAATTGTAACAAAATTGCTTAAAAATGCCTTCCTGTGGGATATGGTGCCGTTTAGATCTTATGTGAACCGACTTTTCGGAGGAACGTATTGCCTCCATCTTCAGGGTAGAAAAATCCTCAATCGAGGAACCAACGTCAGCAGCCACCTGCTGCGGATTTTTCTACCATGAAGATGGAGGCGATACGTTCCTCCGAAACATTTGCACAAAAAAAATTACAAGGTGCGACATCACAGAAGACGGCATTCTTCATAGTCACCACTGCTAAAACCTCTAATCTTACAATTGCTGAAACTTAGACTCTACAAAACAACAGAAATGCACGCATGTTTTGCAGCCACGCCATCTAGCTAGCAACTGGTTTATACGGTCTGTCGTCGAAGGTGAGATGGATCCGCAAGTGACATTCTTTTCAGATGAAACGTGGTTTCACTTGCAGGGATTAATAATTACACAGAATAATCGCTACTGGAGTTCACAGAATCTACACGGTGTGTCTAGGATTCGTTAGGACTCATTTCTTTTACGTTTTGCTCTGCAATGCCATCTGTTGGCGACTTGTGGCATTAAGATTCTTAGGTTTCAGCTGTGGCTGTCTATAATTTCAAAGCGCAAGCATCGCTGAATCATGTGTTCTGACCTTGAATGTAACAATACTGTTCTGACGCTCGTCGGAAAATGGCGGTTGAACAGAGAGCCAACATCAAATTTTGTTTGAAGTTAGGCAAAATAACCGGAGAAGCGTACGAAATGATGAAAAGTGTGTACGGTAGTGACTGTTTGAGTCGCTCGAACATTTTTCGATGGAATGCTGTATTTCGTGACGGCAGGGAGGACATTGAAGACGCTCCACGTGAATCAAAGCCGAGAACAAGTCGCACTGAAGAAAATGTGAAAAAAGTGACCGAAATCCTTACATCAGACAGATGTGTTTCTGCAAGACTCATCGAGGAGCTTTTGGGAATACCAAAAAGTACTGTGTATCAAATTTTGACCTAGGATTTGGGCAAACGGAAGGTCTGTGCGCGGTTTGTACCGCACGCGCTGCCAGGCGATGAAAAACATGCCAGAGTGGAACACGGCAAAGACATGTTATGATT